GGGGCGGGCGCGGGTGGGCACGGGGAGGTGGAGGTGGCCGTGGCCGCGCCGAGCCCGCCGAGCACAAGCCCCCTGGGCCGCGCGCCATAGCATGGCGGGGCGGGGCGTGGCGTCGAGCGGCACCCGCTGGAATTTGCTGGGGATCAACGCGGTTGGCATTTTGTTATTGCAACGGCAAGTTAACGTGTGCGGTTGTACGTGGGACTCCCGTCTCGGACTGCGAGGGACGTGTCGGCTCGGCGGGGGGATGGACACGTCGCCGCCGTGGTCTGGATGGCGAGCACCCCCCCCCCCGTCCCTCTATCCCCCTTTTCCCGTCCCCCTGCTCTGGTGTGAAAAATGACCACAACGATGCGGAGACAGAACCATAAGATAATGTGAATGTGATTCGCCCCTTCATGTATAAGTTACACTTGCATGCCCATATAAATTTCCCCGAAAATTCCCCCCTGAGTACCTCTCATAGTTTTCTCTTCATTCTCCGCCCTTTTAATGTTTTCGATGTCACGCATTATCTCGTGTCGTGCCCCGCAGGAACCCGAGCATGTCGGAGGACGGGTCCTGGACGTCCATCTACTGGCCCGTGCACACGGCGTACGGCAGGGAGTACCTCACCCTCGACACCAACTCGACGGAGACCGGGCGGGGGCCGCGGCTCAAGCAGTGCGCCTTCTGGAAGAAGTACCTGCCCCAGCTCATCGCTGCCACTTGTGAGTAGTACTGCACCGCAGCCGATGCCGCCGCCGGTCGGGTTGTGGCCGCCGCCTAAGTGCCCCGTTGTGTTTCAGCCAACATGCACAGCTCGGAGTGCTCCGGGGCCGCGGGCGCGCACCACGCCGTGCTCCCGGGCGTGCTCACGCTCGCCCTCCTGCTGGCCCGCCTGTGGGCCTGCCGCGGCCAGTGAGGCGGGAGGCACTTGAAAGGCGCGGCCACCAGCGACCTGCGCTGCGCAGCGACCACCGTACCAAACATGTGTTCGTGCATACGGCCCCAGACACACTACCGTACGTCACGACCGTCCTGAAAGAAAAAAGAAACTACTTTATCTTTGGTGCTTTTATTTCCTCGTCGTCATCGCTACCAGAGCGTTTTTACTACAATGTTGTTTGTTTTTCAGAATTCTTGTTGTTCTTGTTTTGTTCATTCTATCCCGGTTTGTTTTGTTTCTTTCGAAAGCGGTGCTGGCGACGCACCCGGTGCATAATTATTATTATTACTACTACTATCATAAGTGTTTTGGGGGACTGGGGTACCTCTTCCTTGATGGTGTCAGGGGTTTATGTATATTATAAATATAAATTATGATTTATGGGGAAGCTCTGGCGGGGGGCCTCCCGCCAAGCAAGGCCTCGGCACACGCAGCTCATTTTGCGCCCACGGTGCTGCCCCGAGAAAGGGAACATTTTTAAACAAACTACTAAAAAAACAAAAAAAAGAGTAATAAAAATGTTGTTTTTTTAAAATGATGTATTTTAGGCGAGGCTTTAGCACTGTCGTGTATTTTTCCACGCAAGTCTGCGAAAAAAAAATTGGCAGTAAGTAAATGTTACAGCTGCTGCGCGTTTTACTAAGAAACCGCTTCACCTTCCCAAGTGAGAGGGCGCGAGCGAGCGCAAACGGCGTTGTGTGAGAGAGGGGGAGAGAAAGAGTGCGAGTGTGAGAGCGAGGGAGATGCAAAGAGCAAATAAGTGAGGAGAAGGGGGAATATGGGCGCGTTGGTAGTAGGGAGGGGAGGGGAGGGGAGGGGGGTTTAAAGGAGTGCGAACGAAGAGAATGTGCGTGAGTCAGTTTGCAAGGTGCATGAAAGCTGAGTGCTGTGAAGGACTGAGTGTTGTTAATTTACTACTCTAAAAATGTTTTAAAAACTTTAGCATAGACGATTTTGATATTGCTCAGAGCCTTGTTCTGGTCAAGGTTTTTTTTAGTTCTATTCGATGCTATTTTAAAAATGTTGACGTATATGTGTAAAATTTAATTTTAAAATTATAATATTACCTATGATAGTTCACGGTAACGTTGTCCTCCGCGCGCACGCAAATCCTTCTCCGAGTTTGTTAAGGGCGCGTGGCTCCGACCCGGCATCATCAGCCAGCAGGGCAGCGGCGGGGGAGGCGGAGGGGGAGGGTCGCGCCGGGACGCGGGGCGGGGCGGGGCTGGGCGGTGCGGCACCGGACTGCTGGGCCTGCTGGTCTTCCCTCTGCTGCTCAATGGCTCTGACCGGCGGAGGGGCGGCCGGCGGGGCCAAGGCCGGTGGCCGGTGTGCATGGGCGAGCAGGTCCCCGTCAGTCCCCAGGTAGAAGGCCTCCCCCGCCAAGCCACGTCCCGCTCCGCTACGCCTCAGTATGTCTTCCTAGAGCACGGCGTTCAGTCCCAGGCCGCGTTTATTGCTGCCAGGACCAACGTGTGGGGAAAATATTACAAATAAAAAGTATCTCTTCCATTCCTATGGCCTGCAGCCACGGTAGGACGTCATAGCCCGTCTGGGTGGAAAATCGGGGAGTTGCTATAGAGCCCTGAACAATTTGTTGATGTATCGTCAATCGACTTCTTTTTAAGAGGGATGATTCAATTCGGAATTTCACACGCGAGTTTTCTGGTGATATTAATGACGGCAAGCTATCTCAGATTCGTTGAAGCGATGCAAAGGCGACAAGGAGGCTGCGCCAGTCAAATCTAGCACATTTGGAAAATGATGTCTCTAATTTTTCTCAGATATTTGGAAAAACTTAACTTTATATCACAACTCTAGATTTTGACTAACAAAGGTGAATCTCGAAGTATCCATCCGCATCTCCTCAGAAACAATTTTTCCGACACAAGCAGTCAATTGACAGCCGTGTTTTTGTCCGCAACGCTTTTTACGGCAATCATTATAAAACCCCTAATATTTTGGAATAAATTAAAGGACCAACTTCGCCGTCTAGCTTCGGCATGATTGCGGTACGTCTTCGGCGTGTTGTTGGATGTAATTGCGGTCGCGACGTCTTCCTCGGCAATAAAGCGGGCGGGAAAATAATTCGATTGTACTCAGGCCTACAAGGAGAACGGCGATAAAAAAAATTCTTTCCACTTACGTGTATTTTGTTGATGTTTGTTGTTGATGTTGTTGTTTTTATATGCACGAAAATTATAAATTTATCATGGCTTTTCGAGGTCTTTTTGCCGCAAAAGTAAGTTTTTTGGCGTCGGTATAGGTGGAAGGCGAGACATTGGACGGGTGTGCTAGACGTCAGACCTTACTGTGCGACAGACGGACCAGGGGACGTCTTATAGCGTTTTACTGTTTCGTGAAGGGGCTCGAGCGTGCGATGCCTCTCGGCCAGAGAGCGCGACTGATTGCACACTCCCGCACCCAACAGTCCCGAACGCATCTCACTGACACATTTGCTGTTGTAGTGTTGCGAGAGGGAAAAGATACATACTTGTTTTAAATATAATCCTTTATACATGCCAGACGCCAGGATGTTGTTTCCTCCCGATGATGAGGGGGTGAGAAGAGGGTGGAATAAATCGAAACTTTTCTGTGATTGACTCGAAATCGTCCCGGTGGCGCAGAGGCGGCGTAATCTGGAGGTCATGGTGACTCTCGGCCTGGCCCCGGCCCCCCGGCCCCCGGCCGCCTACCGCGGTGTACGGGGTAGGCCACACCGCGAGGCGGCGCTGCAGTGCGGCGCTGCCTGTCTGGCCCCGCAGCCCGGCGCAGCCCGCGGGGGCCGCGGCTGGCAAGGCAATTTGTTAGCTTTACCGTGACCGTTGCGCCACCGATACGTTATTTCGCGTCGCTCGGGGAGGGCGTCACCTTTATCGAACTTGCTGGCGACTGGTGCTGGAATCACAATGTTAAGCAGTGCTTAGCAGCAAGGCTTGGTTTCGTGAAAACATAGCCGCAGGGAGCGATAGGCACTGCTAGGTAGTGTTAAGCAATGTGGTAGAAGCCACGGAAACTTTTTTCTCTTTTTCTTTCTTTTCAAAAAAATAAATAAATATACATACATATTTCGTTTGGGGCTGGTTACGGAGTACTGGATAAACGACCCCTTCGTTTGATCATAATGATAACTTGTAGAGTCTGTGAAATTGTGGTGTGTCCTTTACCTTATTTTACTTCGTTCATTTATAAAATCGACCCTTCCAGAGAAATATATATTTTGGATGTCAGGCTCCGTCGGCCAGTGTTGAAGTGCCTCCATCTGGGAAAGCTAGACGAAAGGAGATGTCTGTTCAATGTGTAAATAGCCTTCTGCTACAACAACTACTACTATCGTAACAACTTTACTATTACAGCAACATGCAAACAATCAATGATGCGCAACACCTTGATCTTTGCTGCATTAAGAGTATATTTGTATAGTTGACGAAGAATTAGTTTCATAGTCTATAGTGCCACATATATTCCAATAAACATCCAAAGTTGTTAACTCCTTACATGAATTAAACGCGGTAATAAAATCTAATGATTATTCTAGTCATGATACCATCATTTGAATTTTCCCCTCTTCAGAATCATCAAAATTTAAGCATTTCTACATAAAACTTTGTTCAATTCACAACCTTGTCAACATATCTGTTTCTTTGTTGCAAAGGAGCGCCATACTAATTCACATGTCACTGAATGACTAATTGACACGCATATCATACTATATAGAGTAATTCGATTTTGAAGGCACCTGTTTTGTTTGCTTGGGGTATTGCCTGCTGAATGGGTAGTAGGCAAGGGAGCGCACTGAGCTCCAGTTAGGAAAAATGGACATTTTTATGTATTATTAAAATAATAAGAAAAATGGACATTTTTATGTATTATTGATAAGACAAACCAAATAAATTGCATAAAAAAATCTTGAAATATGTGTACTTTTAATGTCCCAAATATCCCCTGATCAACTGAGTGAACTGGAGAGAGGAAGCGGAGAGAAAATAAATTAAGTTGAAATGAAGTTGGCTACCAGAGCCAATATACTGTATTGAAAGCAACAATAGTCATTATGAACAATGTTTATAAATTGTATACACAATGTAAAATTATATATTAAGGTAGTTTTTCATGATGAGACAATGAATGAATGAATGATGTTGACCACCACTGTAAGGTAAGTAAGTTTGAGGTATTAACTGGTTCACCACTTCCATTCAATTTCATTGAACAAAGAAAGGCATCCCAATCATAGACATGCGTGCAAAGCACACCCAAACGTCAGAATATTGTTATAAAATTATTACTCAACACCAATAAGTAATGAACTCTACGTTACAAGTACATACACATAATTATTTTTTTTATCATATCTCCCAATAATTGAAGCAGGCATCTTTAGATATGCCAAGAACCTCTTGGAAGCTCAGTAACAATGAACATTGTAAACACAGTATTGAAATAGGAACACATTGAATGAAAAATAAATGGTATGAGTTTGAATCTTTGAAGAATCTTAACATGATAATGCTGAAAGTACACTCATCGTACACTGAGATACAAGCACTAAACATTGATGGAAGTTTACGTACATGAGTAAATAATTGGATAGCCTGTGAATAATTAGTATCTACAGAAGTGCAGTACTAAAACTATTCTCAATTATATTTCTTTATTAAAATCAACTAATATCAATGCTATTCGAAAATCCTACAACTGTACACAATTGGCGTACCTGACATGAGTGTCATCAAAAATAAAAAGAACATTTTAAGTAGCCCATACCTTTAGTACATTTTAGACCTACACTGGTTGCAGTAGACCTACAAGAAGGTACTCACTCAATCCACAAGAAATATCTCAACAATTAAAACAACTTCAGACACATACTTGGAAAAAAATTAAAAATAATTGGTAAGCTTCAACAGATCTCATTTGTTGCCTTTAGAGAGAAGACTGTTTAATCTCTTTGTTATCACATTTAATAAGTGGAACTGCTTGGTCACTCTTTTGAGTATCACAAGCATTTATGTACATAAATATTCACATATGCAAATAAGTGCATACCAGTATTTGGCACAGCCAATGTTTTGCTTTTCATACACTTGAGAGACAATTTAAAAATGTGTCAGCATCAGCATGAATAAGAAGTATTATTCTTTACATTACTAATTTGTACTCTCAACTGTGTATTTTAATCAAGAGACTACAACTTGTCTCCAGTTGTGTGTGATGCACACATATCCAAAGTTATCAGCTAAATAATGGAATAATTAAATATTCAGACCTACAGGTCAATTCACTGACAGCAGAACTTTGTGACTTTAACAAATTTGATTATTTTCATTTGTATGCATTTAACCTAAGAGCTATATACACACATTCAATATACATTAACGAATGACCTCTGTAGCAACTATACTGCCAATGAAACACAGCCTTAAAAACATGCTTCTATCAGATTACTGATTTGATGAAATAAATTATCTACAATGAGAAATGGGTACCACATGATTAATGTAATAAAATGAAAAGACTACAATATCATAGTTTTAAATTGGAAAGTTACAATCAATAACCATGTGCAACAAAAACAAAAATGGCTAAAACAAAAGAATCAATCAATCTATGATATTGGCAGAAAATCTTAGATGTAACTAACAGACTGTCATTCTCTTTAAAATAAGGAGCGCCTAAGTACACTTTGGGCAATAGAAAGCTTCGTCACTCATTAACAGTGGCAAGTATTGACAATGGCTCACTGTGTTGATTTTTACTTTAAGATTTACAAACCAAAGTTTGTTTCTGTTTTTGCTGCAGTCCTGTAATACCATTAAAGGAACAAGAAATTTCTTTCCAGTCTTATCAACAACATGTGAATGTTTTTCTCCTATGGATTTAACTGATTGGTTCTTCCTCAGTATCTGATCCATCCTGTGGAGGTGCAGATCCAGGTGGATCTACTCCAGATGATGACTTTCTCCTATTTTTACTGTAAACAGCACCCTCCTGTCCAGTGTACCGAAAACTCAAAAGAGGGTGAAGAGAAGACCGCAAGCTCCAGAAAATTTTAGGGAACAGTATTTCTTGCTGAGCCAGGAGCTGCTTGGTACGATGACGCTCCTGAACAAAAGAATTAATTTTTATCCTGGAATTTTTCAAAATCCTTCTACAACTTAAATTAATTTCATACAAACCTTAGGAGCTTCAAAACAGGCTGGACAATTCTCTGGTATGATAGGGAGTCCCTTACTTTCAGCAAATTGGCGTAAGGCTTTCTCTCTCACATACACAAAAGGACGAATCACTCTGAGGTCCCGTTCCCTTGAGAGCAAAATATGATTTTTAATATACAAACA